TAACAAGAGCGGAGGCCAGGCGGGAGTTCTGTGCTGCACAGAGGCTGCTGGGACACCTTGGGTTTGTTTGTAACTAATCTCAAATCATGAAGATCTTTTCCACTCGCAGCAAACCCGAGTCCCTCAGCAACATCTGTGGTAAGACGCGAGGAGCATCTGTGGACGCCGAGGAGAGGGTGGTTTCTCCCCACCAAGTCCAGAGCTACCCTCCAAGCTGTAATCTTATCATATTTAACTGGTTCCACATAAACAGATCTGTGTATATTTTCAGTAGTTTCAGCTGAAACCTGTTAAGAACAGATGTGCAAATGGTTGCCCAGCACTGATCCGTTTAAGTTTATTTTTCCATGAACAGCCTTTTCACTCTGCCCTCCTTTGCAGGGGCAAGAAGGAAAAAGTGGGACTGTCAGTAAAGTGGATATTACACGCTTCGGAGTTCTCTGTAGCCAGTGCTTGTCGCTGGTTTTCAAATAGCTACTTGGCTCGTGAGGCTGTGAACACAGAGGGTGCATTTGATCGCAGTGTTTGCTGAGACGTGTGGCTGGGAGGACGGGCTGTAGCTCCATCTCGCCGCCGCCTTTCCCTGCCCCGGCCGAAGTCCAGCAAGTAAGTTATCCACATCTTTGACCTGTTCGTTTGTTTTGTTTGTTTGTTTTTCAGCTGGAAAAAAGGAGGGGGGTCGTTAAAAGGAACTCCTACAACTCAACAACAACAAAAATCTGATTTGAAAATGGGCAAAGTACTTAAATAGACATTTCTCCAAATATGATAGATATACAAGTGACCAGCAGGCATATGAAGATGGTCAACATCACTCAGAATGAAGGAAACACAAAAGAAAACTACAGCGAGATCCTCCTCCCACCCATGAGGATGGCTACTATAAAAACAAAGCAGAGAACAAATGTCGGTGAGGATGTGGAGAAACTGGGAAATTCGTGCACCGTTAATGGGCGTGTAAAATGGTGCAGCTGCTGTGGAAAACAGCCTGGTAGTTCCTCAAAAAGTTAAAAATAGAACTACCATATGATCCAGCAATTCCTCTCTGGGTATTAGCCAACAGAATTAAAAGCAAGATCTCGAAGCGATACTTGTTCATAGCAGCATTATTCACAACAGCCAAAAGGTGGGAGCAACCCAATGTCCACCCACAACTGAATGGATAAACAAAATGTGGTCTGCCCATACAATGGAATATTATTCAGCCTTAAAAAGGAAGGCAGCCCAGCCAGCGTGGCTCAGTAGTTGAGCATTGACCTGTGAACCAGGAGATCGAGGTTTGATTCCCAATCAGGGCATATGCCCAGGTTGTGAGCTTGATCCCCAGTATGGGGTGTTCAAGAGGCAGCCAATCAATGGTTCTCTCTCATCATTGATGTTTCTAACTCTCTCTCCCTCTTCCTTCCTCTCTGAAATCAATATATATAAAGGAAGGCAATTCTGGTACATGGGACAACATGGATGAATCTTGAGGACATTATGCTAAATAAAATAGGGACAAAAAGACAATTGTATAGTTCACTTACACGAGGGGCCTAGAGTGGTCACATTCATCGAAACAGAAGGTAGCATAGTGGGTGCCAGGGGCTGGGGGCAGGTGAGACGGGGAGTTAATGTTTAATGGGGACAGTTTCCGTTTTGCAACATGAAGAGTTCTGGGGATCTGTTATACAGCGATGTTCACCTGCTCAGCTCCCCTGAGCTGCACACTTGGAGTGATGAAGATGGTGAAAATGAAAGTGGGAGGAGTTCTCATCAGGACGCGGATTTCATGGCAAGGACTCAGTGAGAGAACGCACACCTGGCCAGACGCTTGTGGAGATGTAATGAGGTG